CTATGATTAACTTAATAAGAAACTGCCTATTGTTTTTCCAACCATGCATACACTTGCTTGGAAACGTTTGGTGTTGTCGATTTTTTTATCTTTCAGTCATTCCAGTGTATATTAAGTGGTGTTTCATCACGGTTCTCTAAGTTTCCTTTCTTCTCGATTAACGATGTCAAGCAGCTTTTTAATGTGATTGCTGGCCATTTGTTTATCCTCTTTTGGAAATATCCCATCCAAGTTTTTACCCTTTTAAAAAAATGTTGGTTTTTTTCTTATTACTTATTTGAGGGAGTTCTTTATGTATTCTGAATACAAGTTCTTTGTCAGATATATAACTTTTTCCAGTCTTTGGCTCACCTTTTCATTTTCTTAATGATGTCTTTTGAAGAGAAGAAAATCATAACTTACCATTTTCTTTTTTGCCTTTTTAATTTGTCTGTGCAGGATTCTTTACCTGGGAGGACTTTCTGTCTCTGAGAGTTGGTTGACATCCCAGGACATGATAATCACTGATGCTTGCTACTTTTTCCCCAAAAGCTTAGGATCGACTTGAAATCAGGGGCTGTGTTCTGTTTAGGGCTGTATCTAGTAGAATGCCCACCAAGCAGAAGGTCCTCAATAACTATTTATTAACCAAGTACCTAAATGAACTGCCGAAAATTAGAAGAGTCGATTCAGCTTCATCAATTAACTTCTTTACATGTCCTTTTCCCTTCCTGAAAACAAGGTAAACTCCCCACTTACCTCACAGGCATGTGCAAGCAAGCTTTTGAGGTTGTGAAAATGGAAGGATTTTTTGCCCTTTAAGTGTATATCAGTAAGAATCCTGTGAATATATATACTTTTCAAAGATTTTGTTACTGTTGTTTTTATTTCATAAGTCACTTGAAAAGAAGTATATGCAATTCTTAATGAATTAGAGCTTTTCATGAATTACAAAGACATCTTGATCCAAAAAAATATATATATGACTAGTCAGAACTTGCAAGGTAAATGTTTGTCATTTGACTTTATCATGTAGTAGTGATCAGCTTTTTATTCTAGTGAGGCTCACTAATGTCTAAAATCATATAGACTGCATAAAAATAATAATGTTGTCATTAAATCTGTCCAAGAGGTAGACCTTAATGAATTCCATAGAGAACTCCAACTTGATAATTGAAGCTAAGAAGTCATAACACTATTCTGACAGAAAGCTGCAGTTAAAAAAAAATTTGAAAGGCACCTGCAATCCATGAAAGTGATGGGCTAATGGAGGAAAGGAAGTGCAATCTTCTCTTCTCTGCAGGAAACCACAGCAGACGGTAAGACACAATCAAGTGACATTCAGCACATTATGAATTAAGCATTTGAAAGCAAAATGACTTTCTGCATACCAATAGAGCCTCAGAAAGTCCAGAATTTTATTGGCCAGTTTCCTGTATTTTTCCCCTGGAGCAGCATGGATCCTCACCCTGGAATGAAGAAAAGTCCCAGAAGCAAGTGTGATATCCAGATATTCAAGTTAAATTGATAAATACACATAGAGAGTATAGAAAATACAGTTACATGCATAAACAGCCAGAATGTTCAATTTCCAAATATGAAAGGTATATAATCTAGAAACTAATTGAAACTGAATT